ATGACTCGTTAGCCTTAAGTCTCCCTTCTTCGTAAATTGCCTGCTGTAAATTTTTAACTTTACTTATGTATTGCAAGATGTGCACGTCGGGTTCCATGCAGATGTTATTTAATTCGGACATATACTGTTGTTAGGTGTGATTTTAACCAAAACTCCTGCTTAGCATGTTGTATAGATCGTCTAGCATAAGTATTTCCTGATCTTCTACGGCGATGTAAGCTAAATCCCTGAGATTATTTATAATGAGATGAGTTACCGTTGCCTCGCTATTTGGCGGTGTTAATTCATGTCGACTACGTCGCGAATATCAGCTCCTGAGTTAGAAATATGCGCGAGGAAAGCAACCGCTACGAACACAACCGGGGTTACTAAATTGAGACGTTCAAAAAAAACAAAACTTTTATTTGAAAATATAACTAATTGTACACTTACGCGTGCAGATGAAAACTATAAATTCAAGAGATGCGCGTGATTCGTCTGGATACTCCTACCTAAGTGGGGGGGGGGGGGGGGGGGGCACTGCATACACCGAGCCTGGGCGGATAGGGCCTTGTCGGGTCGTGAGTATCGATTGTCGAGAGAAAAGGACGAAGAAGATTTCTAAGGATGGATGGTTTCCTTGAATATTCTAGACCATGTGATTACATTAACTTAAACACATCAACATTTTTAAGAAGGGTCTAAAAACTTCTCGGGTATTGTTTGGCCTCCTACTTGCGTTATTGTTTGGGATTGGACCGTCCCATGTACCTACGTATTAATGACACGTGCGTTTTTAGAATTTATGTCCTTCCTGTAAGATCTATATGCTCCGTGCGTTCCGTAACAATATGCTACTTACATATTTATCGTACTTAAACATCCAGAGTCTACCGATAATAAAGAAGGTACTAGTCATCAATCATCAGATCAATGGATTTCAGTCAAGTAAAAAGTAATAAATCAAAAATCTGGAATTATATCGAGATTTTTGGCATAAAGTTAATCATAACCAGATAGCAAACAAAATTAAACATAACCAGAAGTCTATATAAGATAAGCAGACTGGGGGATGTATCGAATCAAAATTATTGTAAATATTACGATCTCGATGAAATAGTTGATGTATGTATTAATGAATCATTAATACCATTTTGAGAATGCATAATTCTTAAATAATTTTTAAAACAGAAGTACCATAAAAATAATATTAAACTTTTTAAATTATTTTATGATCCAAGATATACATACCAATTTCAAATATATTGTGAAAAAAAAAATCAAACGCACCATATTTAACACTAACAAGTCTTGTAATGAGCATGTGTAACAATATACCGCATAAAGGCCACACAATTTACGTAGACAATTGGTATACCAATATCAATTTAGCCGAAAAATAAATTGCTTGTAACACTCATTTGGTAGAAACTATGAGGAAAAACCGAAAAAGAGTATCCGTAAAAGCTAAACTAAAAAAATTAAAATGAGACAAGTTGATTGCAATGTAATCAACTTTCTTAATGGAATATTTAATGAATATTTTAATAATTTGAATATTAAAAGGATATTTTAATAATTTCCACAAATCATTTGGCGGAAACAGTAACTGTATACAAAAATAATTACACACGTGAAAAACTAACTGTAGTTTTAGATTACAATGTAGGAAAATGTGATGTGATCTGTCCGATCAGATGATGGGATAATTTACACCAAACAGAAAAACTCGCATGCGGTATATAAAATTAGTTATCGAATTGTTATTAAATACATCAGCTACAAATATATAAACTCAAAACGAAAAAAGAAAAATAAAGATCTCTGACTTTAGAATGGAACTGTCAATGCATCTTATACATTGCCATGATGTAGTAACACTAAGGCCATCAAATATATCTATCCGAAGAAGAGTTAACCATGAAATGTAAAAGATTGTAAGACTAGCAAACACAGCGCGAAAATTTTACAATGTTGACAAACACATTTTGCAAATTTTAGAAGAAAGAGTGCTAAAATTCACACGAAAAGCCATATACTTTCCAGATTATATTGATTAGCTACATTTATGTTTGAAATGCTTTAGTACAATATATCGACAGATAGAAGATGTGATAAAAATTAATTTTTTATTTTTGATTTTAAGCAAAATAAGCGAAATTGTAACGCGACTGAAGTTCCTGTAAATTGTAATGAAATAAAATTATATTATATATAATAATAATTAAGATAAAAATAAAAGTAAAAATAAAAATTCAAATGACTGCTCTGAAAGGGTCATTAGAAAATATCGAATATTCGGAAAGATTATAACATTCATAAGATTTTTACAAATTACTAGATTTTTGCATTTAACAAATAATGATACAGTTGACAATACAGACTGATTACATAAATTAAAAATTATAATGAATTTTATTTTATACTCATAAATTCAAAAATGTATACACATGGATGTCACTATTAATAAATCATTAATGCATTTTAAGAGACTTATTCCATATAAACAATATAATCCAACCTACAACGATTTGGCATAATAATTTATAAATGATGTGAATCAGCGTGAAATTATTGCTATCATTTTAAGATATATGTAGGTAATGACAAAATAAATTTTAATAGCGCACCTAAAAATTATGGAATTGTCACAATCAATTTTCAATAAATTATTTTATATGTTGAAAAATAATATGCGTCGCCTAAACTGTTTTTAACAATAATTAAAAATAAAACACAAGGAACTATGCGTTTTAATAAAATCAATATACCGAGATTTTGTCGGTACAAAATTAAAAATGGGAAAATATAACTGAAATGAGAAAATAAATGAAACGTTTATGCCATTTCTACAAAGTACAAAACTACAGAAATAACTGATTGTAGGCAAGAATAAACTCAATTCAATCGTATTTTTAAACCAAAATATGTCACTGAATATAATAAAAGCATGATTGGAATTAATCGCTAATTTATTTGCGTATTATGAGATAATATATGAAAATATATAGAAAATTTTTCTTATATACATTCGACAAGGCACTTTTTAATAGATATATACTATACGAAACAATAAATAAAGAAAAGAAAAAAAGGTACAATGAATATAGAATAAATATTATAGAATTATTATTAAAAACTGCACAATTAGTGGATTATGAAAAATGATAATAATAATAATAATATATCAAATAACTTATCAAATAGCAATAAACATCACGAAAACCATAGAAGCAACATTGGGTTCATATTTCAAAGAATATAAAAAAATAATAAAAAAAATAAGAAAATAAAAAACAATTTAACAATATCAAAAAATAAATAAGAGCTTATAAAATTAATAAAAAATATACGAAATGCATTAAAACAACATGAAAATACAAGAGATGCCAAATTGTGTTAGATGCACTATAGTGCATTGAAAGATATCACACGACTAACGACTATTAATTTTTTGTAAACGATAGAAATTAAAAATAAGTATATTTATACAAATTGAAATAAAATGTTCTTAGAATTTCTAGGCCAAAAATTATTTCATTTTACTGGATAAATTGTTCTCGATTATTGCATCTAAAGAAAATCTCGAAAGACTTACTTTTTGTGTTATGATCTGTTTGATTATATTATAACGTTTATATGCATGTGCAAAAATATGTTTATTCAAATTAATCAGATTTTATGGTTTTTATAATAATTAATTTCGTTAACATCCACATAATTGGCACACGCTCAAGCACGCATGGTCAAAAAGCTGCAGAAGCCAACGTGTGAGCGAGCGCCTTCGTCACCAATTGTGACAACCAATCGCACTTAAATCACACTGCAAAGAGTTGTTGCATGACTCGTATTAATTAAATGACTCATTAATAAAACAAGAAAATATTATCCTAAGCTAATGAAACTAAACTAAGCCCAATAAAAAAACAATTAAAACTGTACCATTCAAGAGTAAATCCAAAAAGTTAATTATTAATGGCTATTCGACAACAATTAATAGAAAAAATTACAACTAGTAAGTCATGTCAAGTCGAATCTTTCATCCTCGACATAATATATACTGAAGGGACTTAAATTCGTTCACTCACTGCTTAAGATCCACAATAGCTCCAAAACACTCGCTCCGTTGTAGCTCGAAATTGATGTGAGCTGTTCCATAATAAGTCCAAAATGAAATAAATCGACGTAGATGGAAAATTAATTAGATTGAATTTGTAATACATTGACTTAATGACAATGCAAATCTGAAAAAGGATTAAACACAATTTTTATTAAATTTATCGTCATAAAAAGAAATGTAAAATTAAATTAGCTATTAAATTTAAACATTTATTTACCAATATTCTTCTACAGAAGTGTAATAGGTCCTTGATCATCTTCCATGATGCAATGACTCAAATGCACAATAATTATTTAATAATTAAGAGGCAAACAATGAATTTAATTCGCGAATATCTATTGCTTGTTTTATATATGAAATCTACAGTATATCTGATTGCAGAAGAAAAAAAAAATAAAATTTTATAAGAACAAATATTGACTCTATGACTGCTTTGGACCCAAATTATTCATACAGACATTTCTAAAAGTTTTTTAACATCATGAAACGCAAAAAAATTTAAATTAACCGAAAAACATTAACAACAAATCTACTTCACAATTCCTTCTTTATTTTATCGAAACAAAGATCGATTCATCTATGGCTGCACGAACAACTGCAATCATGAGCTGAAAATAAAAACAATATCAATATCATTGTACAATACAACAAAATTGTTAAAAGTATACAGTCAAAAAATAAAAGATTACTAAAATTCTTACTAATAAAAAGTAATAATGAAATAAACAAAAACATTCTAACGGTTTATTACGGTGTACTAAACTCCAACGAAACCATTTATTATGTATGCTTGAGAGAAATAACTAACCCAATAGGATAGATGCACGGTGGCGACAGATATCGTTGCTTGTTTCCTAGTTCATATTTTGGCCATACTTGTCGCTAAGATCGCAAACAATTAGTGCAAAAGGTAGTTAACGTAAAATTCAATTAATAGTTTAAGTATTGGTAATACCAAAGGTCAATTTGTAATTTATTTTATTTTATAAAAATAACAATGACGTTGTAGTTACTCAATGCTTTGGCGCAATAATCGCAATTATGATTTCGTTGCGAATATAACGCGTTTTCCAGCAATACACGTAATTAACACGCCTCGGCGCCACCACACGCACACGTGGGAAACTAACCAAACAAAATGAGAAACAACAAAGCCGCCGAAAATAAAGTAAACGATAAAGATGCCGTGAACACAAAAGAAATCATTTATTCTTTCATGGACTCTTCTTGAAGTCAAAGTCGTAGCTGCTGAAAGTCACAGCCTGATTATACCTATAGTATATCGAACAAAGCTAAATAAAAATATTACTATTGTTATTTGATGTGCAAAGTTTCTGCGCGTAAACTATAGATGACATTTCTTATTATTAGATCGAACATTAGATCGGAATAGGGCTGTACATAAATAAGGTATAATTTACTTATACATTTTTATGTAAAGAATTCAAAAAGTACACAATATGTTAATATGATATCCATGAATGTAATTATAGTGACTTTTTATCCTTCGAGTAAATGACTTGCGCGAATGCCACTATTATGGCGTAACTTTCAAAAAGATAACATTATAATGGCGATTAGTAGCTTAAAGGTTAAAAGATCGTATGCGATATGTACGGAGTAGAACGAACCAGTTGCGAGAATGTTTTCACGTGAGCGTAGACGAAGCTGTGTTTATTTGGTTAGAATAACAATTAACCATCGTCACGGAAAAGTCACAAAAAATGCCCAAAGTGGCTAAGGTAAAATGATTATTATACATTAGTATATTTTATTTTATAATTATAAATTATAGCATAAACAACTTATAATTGTAATATTTATTCACAATTAAAATCTTTTTTAGCTAAAAAACAAAGCATCCGAGAAAATTTAAATCATAGCAAAACAGCTATTAAGAGAAGCAAAGAAAAAAATCTTTATGCAATGTTAAACCTATCTATAATTTTACATAGAGAACAGTTCATTTGTAAATATTTGTAAATATTTGTAAATATTCCCTTTTAGCCACATAAGCAGAAAATATAAAATCCCCAGAAATTGGCTGATTACCAATATGGAAAATTAAATATCTATGACGACAAAATGTATAAGAATCATATGGTTATAACGAATCTGATGAAATATGCCCGATGGGAAGAAAGTCAGAAACAATGCAAAGAGCAAGGTACTTTAAATACAAAAAATTTATAACATTTTATAGTCTTAGTTTTATTAGAAATATTTCAAGGTTTATATGTCCACTTTATTTTAAATCTGTATATGAACGTGCGCTAGATGTTGATCATAGAAACATTACATTATGGCTATATTATATTGAAATAGAAATGCGCAATAATTATGCCAAAAATTTATTAGATCGTGCAGTCACAATTTTACATACAACAAATCAATTTTGATACAAATACACATATGTGGAAGAAATGTTAGAAAATATTACTGGTAAGATTTGATATAAAATTAGGGATTATTTTTTATTATCTAACTTAATTTTATAGAGATTTATTATAGAAACACGTCAAGTTTTTGAGCGATGGATGGAATGGTGACCTGACTAACAGGCAAGGCAAATATATATTAAATTTGAATTACGATATAAAGAAATACAAAGAGCCAGGTAGAGATATATAATTGCGTAGGAAGATATATAGTTCTGTAATAAATGTAGGACGCAAAGTTTATGAAGATGTTATAAACTTTTTCAGAGATGAGAACTTAGATGAAAAGCTCTATTTATAGCATTTGCAAGATTTGAGGAAGGACAGAGAGAAGTATTATTTTAAGATAACAATATATTCAGTATCTCTGTTATAATAAGTATAATTTTAATATTTCTCTGATAGCACGATAGGGCAAAAATAATTTCTAAGTATGCTTTAGACAATGAAACAATAAAAGAAATATATAATGCATATACCATACACGAAAAAAAATATGGTGATTTTGCAAGTAATTCATACTATAAAGATTAAGATTTATTTAATACGAAATATGAATTTAAAAGTTTTAAGTATTAATATTAATTTGTATAAATTTATAAAAAAATAACACAAATTTCATAACATTTTTAAATAGGCATTGAAGATGTAATAATTAACAAAAGAAAATATCAATATGAGCAAGAAGTCAAGGAAAATTCTTCTATGATGCTTGGTTTGACTATCTGAGATTAGTAAAATTTGAAGAAAATCATAATGTTGTAAGAGTGTATGAACGAGCTATAGCAAATCTCTTAATAAGGTAATGAGTATTTATATTTTAACAATTCTGAAGCCAAATTGAAGTTCCTTTCCATTAAATAAATTTTTTATAGGAGCGTGGGAACGATATATCTATCTGTACATAAATTATGCTTTGTATGAAGAAATTGACACGGAAGTTATAGATAGAAATTTACAGGTATAGTTTATCTTATATAAAATTATTGTTATATATGGAGAGATAACTTTATAATACTTTATTGTTGCATATAAAGATAGAATTTTATAATATTTTTTTACTTTTTAGAATCTATTTAGATCTTATTCTACATAAACATTTCACATTTTCTAAGATATGGCTATGTTATGCATATTTCGAAATGTAACAAAAAATTTGACTGTAGCGAGAAAAACATTAGTATGCTATTATTATAATAATTTTTTTTATTATTTATAAGTATTAAATTTTTGTATTTTTAAATATTTAATTTCATTTATTTCAAGATATGGTATTGGGTGTTTATCCCAAAGACAAATTGTTCCGTGGTTACAATGATTTAGAGGTACAATCTAGAAAATTTGACAGATGCAGGATTCTGTATGAAAAATTATTTGAATTGCACTTCAAAACTGCACAATGTGAATGAAAGTAAATTAATTTTCTTATAGTTACATTTATCTTATGTTTTATTGTAGTTATATTTATTTAATTGTTATGATGTCTATAAAGTTTCTAAAAGAATTAGAAACTTTATTAGGAGACTTTGACCGTCCTAGAGCTATTTATGAATTAGCTGTGTCTTAGACGAATTAAGTTATATTTTTATAAATTACTACTAAATGTAATTAAAGCTGTCTTTTTCTTTTATTTTTATCTTTTATCAAAAACACGTTTAATATTTTTATTATTTTTATTATTTAGTTTGGATATACCTGAACTTTTATGGAAGTCATATATGGATTTTAAAATATCTCAGGATGTAATAGAAAATACCAAACAACTATTAGAGGGATTATTAGAACGAAATGTTCATGTCAAAGTAAGTTTGATTTCATAGTATGATATATATGTATATATATATATATATATATATATATATATATATATATATATATATATATTAAACTTAATTTATAAATATTTTTACATTATAATACACGTTTGCATAACTTATGCTAAATTTGAATTAGTTAATTTTCCATCGAAAGATGATGTTGATAATGTTACCTTAGTTCGTAGAATTTTTGAACGTGGGAATTGTGCATTATTTGCAAACAGTGACAAAGAAAGGAGAATATTACTTTTGGGAGCATGGAGAGATTTTGAAAATGAGAAAGGAGACAAATAGAGTTAGATTAAAATTAATCTAGATCAAAATGCCTAGAAGAATTAAACGAAGAAGACGAATGATTGAAGAAGGTGGAGTATGTAGTTTTTATAACATACATTAAGTAGTACAATAACATTAAATAGTCTTGGAGAAATTTAAATTAAAAAGAAGTATTCTTAATTTATATTAAAAATAATCTACATTAACTTGAAGATATTCGGCTCCGGGAAAAAGTATTCGACTTCGTATTCCCAGAAGACGAATACCAAAGAGCAAATCTTAACTTCTTGGCATTAGCGAAAGCGTAGATAAAGTAAATAATTTCTAGTGATACTGCTCAAAATGAAAATTAACAATTAGAATCGGACAATTAAAAATGATTTATATCTTTTATATTATTATTATATTTTTATTCTGTAAATAGGCAATATAAGTATTGTGGAGAATTTTATATTTATCTTGACTTATTTATAAAATGTAAAAGGTATCAAATTATGCTTTGATAGTTTTTTTTTGCATAAGTACAGTTTATATTTTATAAATAATAAACAATTTCCTATAATTTATATTTAAAATCTTTGTATCTAAAATCCTGTATAATCACTTCTAATAACTTATATTTAAAAATGGTAATATAGGGGTTTTACAATATATTATATTGTAAATATTACGAAATTTTACAATATATATATTATAAAATAGGGAATTTAATTAAAGATAGCATTAATTTATGCAAACTGTTCAGTGGCTATTAGAAAGGTAGTAAATTAAAATAGTTTTTTTCATTAAGAACTTACAACAAATTTTAACTATGATCACCCCGATTATTTAGTGCAATTAACGTTCAGCAACTATCTTTGATATATGCTTGCAATTTATGTTTGATTGTAATGATTAATAACTCATTCGAAAGATGAAGATTTTCTACACTATATTCTCGTTTTCGATTTTCAAAACTAGTTTCTATATGCATGAAAATTACTTTTGCAAATTATTTTTTTCTAGATGATTTTTGCAAAGAAGATGATATTTTTCCAATATCGTACATAAAAATCTCATGTAAAAAAACTTTATCTTTTGAATGAGGTCTTAAGACTTCATAGTGTAAATTTTTGCAAACACACAGAGAGAGAATTTTTTTAAGACTATTCATCATCTTTCATTCGAAGTAGGTGTGAATTCGATGATTGATATGGTACTTATAAATATCTTTCTTTGATAGAGTCATACAAGACACGACCCACATCTATTTTACGATAAATACATAAATAATAGTAAATATAATTAGAATAATAATTATAATAAGTAGTATATAAATTTACGATATAAAAACAAGATTTTATCCAATATTTTGTAAAAAATAATAATTAGTGAATATTTAAATATTAAATATTATTACAGAAATCAAAATATGAATTCATTTACATACTAATTATGAGGTAAAACTCTTAGCGTTTTTCTTAAATGGTTTACCCCGATAGGACTAATCCATTCTGTACTACAAGTATTACTATTATTACTACACAAATAACAATGTAACATAATAATAGTAATAAAAACGTATTTGAATATTATGTACATTATATACATTCTATCTTTTAATAGAAAAATCAGTGGTGACATGTTACTATTTGGATATCTAGAATAACCTTTTATAAATATATTGTATTTTTAAAATACGCGTTGGAAGAATACGAGCTTTACAGGAATAATCGATTTCAGGCAGAAGGTAATCGTGATAAAAAAATGTAAGCTTTCTTCTATTCTTCCTGATTGAAAGCGATAATTTCTTTCAATCTTATCATTCCTTTTAATGTCCAAACAATAAAATAATATTACTTATTTTGTATTGCGTCGTGTGGGCGCTGCAACTACTCTTTGTTACAACTATCTAGAACTTGTTGATCATCTGGCGTTTGGTTATAAAGGATAGGTGACCTCGTAAAGCGCCTGCTTCCTTCCTTTATGTGTTAATTGGTTTCTTCTTACGCTTCTCACAGGATCAGTGTCTCCAGAATCCGGTTCGAAGGACTAAAATGTTTTGTGTTGCGTCGGGTGGTCGCAGCTACGAGAGCGATTTTAGATGTGCGTCCCGCATTGGATCAACTATAACAATCGATTTGCACAGAGAAATATTTTCCGTCTGTCCGAACTACAGACCCACTGGTCGCGATGAATAAGAGCGGCGGCACTATGCAAGGATACCATTGGAGACCGTCAGCAAAATACTGCTTGTCGCGTTCCCGCAAATTAATGGGGAAACGCACGTTCTTTTAAAGGATCATGTGAAATTCGCAAGGTAGATGCGCGATATTAAATATCACGCGCATTGAAGTTGATTCGATATATATTTGATGAAATAAGTTACAATTGTTTATGTGTTTCGTGTAATGATTTCGTGTTCTGAATAAGACTTGACAGCTTAGATGTCGTGAGTCTAAAAGATGTAACTTACCTGATTTTTTGGAAGTCTAGAACTATCCATACAGACTGTAATGAGATCACAGAGAATAAAAAGGGCGGAGTTAAAGTATGATTTGAGCATGGAAAGGGAAAGAATAAATGTCCATTGGTCGTAGATAGTTCAATGAAATGTTTAAATATTCCATGTGTGCCCCCTTTGTTCTAATGATCATGTAGATTGCAGAGTGTCAATAGATATTTTAAAGCTAGAAGCCAAATAAACCTTGACTTGTCGCGCCTAGGAGTCTACTTTCACTATTTACTTATTGGCCGGTTTGACATATTATCGAAATCCAGATATTTTACTAAGAAGCCCAGACAAAGATGGCCATATGTTTTTTATCTATGCGTTTTGTTAGCTAATATCTAATAATTTCCGAAGAGTAAAGATTTCCGATGGTGATACATGACCTTTAAGAGAAAGTACTGTGAACAATGGAGAGATACACGTATGCGTCAATACCACTGCCTCAGTGACGTGTAAAAGATTCTTTACTTGGTACATATATCTGTCAGATTATTAATTAGTTAAATTAAAATTAAACATGCCCAATTAATTAATTCTTTACTTGGCAATTTTTTATTAATTTTAAGATGCCACGCACTACTAGAATTCATACTAATAATAGTACCTTTGCTTTAAGTTTAATATAAACCGTAGGTTCACTTTTGTCACTTACAATTTTAGTTATATAAAAATTATATAATTTGGTTGTATTATTATGTACGTCCAATATCAAATTGGTTATATGCAACACAATACATTTCCAATTATATTTCATGTAAAATACTAATTGTTCTTATATCCTATACGTTGTTTCGTTTTATCACTACAACAATATATGCGATTTGTATACTTTTTATGGAAACCAAAAATATAAAACGACTCTTTGTAAATATCTTTTTGTTAATCCATGTTATTATACAAAGGTAGATCGTTTACAGTAACAGCAGTTTGAATATTTTGTCGCTATATGATGGTGGAATAATTTTTATTTAAACGGAGATACTGGAGCTACTATAATTACGTACTACATTTATGTGGCATTTTATTTTTTCAACTAATATTGGATTTTATTAGGGATCATGATAAGCTTTCCATGCATGCTGTTGTTCTCATCGCCGATCAATTTTGTATATTTCAAACCATGCATTTCAACGCTACAATGAAAATTCTACTGTAGTATCAATAAATAAACATTTTTGAAATATTCATGATTGCGGAAGGCTGTTTGTGTACGGTTTATTCAATCGCAGTAATATTTGTATCAAGTATCAATTTGATCAATATATAAATGTTTTTTAATCATAAAACCAACTAACACTTTTTAAACACTTTTTAAAAATAATATTTTCTGTTTTTCTCAAACAGTTGAATTATCCTGAAATGTTCATTTTATTAATAAATATATAGAATAAATATATTTCTTTTGTATTTCTAACGTATTCCTAACACATATTCAATTGCTCTTTTTTCCTTTTTCAGCGTTGAAATGTATTAATTTATTTTCTAAATAATATTATTATATATCATAAATTCATTTTATATTCTTCATAAAAATAATCACCTTAAGAGCCACGTATTTAACAATTCCAACATAGTAATATGTTGGAAATACTAAAACTAGACCTTCTGACATGATTTTCTTAACTGATCATTTCGGGTTATAATTTCTTTTTCAAAAACGTTCTGAATTCAAAAACAAACTATCTTCCATTCGAAATTTTGAATAATAAAACGAGGTCCATGGTAGAACTTTTAATAGCGCTCGCTAGCGTTATCATAACGATGACGACTATGAATTTAATTTAATTTTCAAACAAAGAAAAATGATAAATGTATGAGATTCGACTTCAATAATGAAAATGCAAAAATCAAATAATTCTACTCGCGTACGTGGGGCAATGTAGAGACGGAGAATGTTACGTCGTTTCAATTTTTCAAATTTACACTTTTATATCCATCATCATAAGAGCATTTTGAGTTACAATATAGTAAAATTAAAATATGATTAAGAACTATTCTCGAAAGGTTTTTGTGAATATTTGAAAATAAATTAATAGCCTATAGTTTCTCTCGTGAGCCACGTTTTGTTGGGGCCTCTTTGGCATATACTCTCTTCTTTGCTTTGTGCCCTAATCTAATTGATCATCATTCAAAATTGTAATAGCGAAATTTGATTTCAGATTATAATATATGGAAGGAAACTTTAAAATACTTGCAAAGCTATACTATTACTTGGAAAGCGAAAACCTTATCTCTTTGGATAGAAGTTGATTGCTACTTTTTCGAGAGATATCTTTTCATAGCATAAGAGAAACGGAAAGTAGTCTATTAATTCCTGAAAATTCCGAATTAAAAAATGATTAACATATTTTTAGGTCTACGGGATGTGATTCTACCAGTTTTCTATTATCGATGACTACATTCTTATTTTAACTCCAGTTTTTTTTAACATTTATGAAAAATTTATCATTATTATATGAAATCAATATTATTTTATGAAATAGAATACTTCGCAAAAGAAAACTTCGTTAAAATTAGATGACGTGGAGTTTCAACCGGATACTGACATCGGACCAATTATTGAGAAACGAAAAAGTAAAGCTATCCATGGAAAATATCCTTATCAAGTTAGTGGTAATGGAGTAAACATGGAAGCTTCAACGATCTGGCTGCAAAAGCTCAACTATTCCCTGAGACAGGTATTTTACCATTGCAGTTCAAGATGAAATCATCGTGACAAAACAATATCGGTGAGCAATCTTACACGAAGACATAGAAAACTGTCGTCGGTTTCGACAGGGAATAGAATCCATAGAACATGGCATAAACGAAGACTACCTCAAGCGACAAGATGATGTAATTAAGATTATGCACTAAGAGCTGGCCATGATATGTAAATTCATCGAAGAAAATAACCCTATTATTAGTATGAAACATATGAAGTTCTGGTCAATTCCAACTTCAAATTGTATTGAAACCAGATGATGAGTATTGATTCATATGATCCTTGAAAATCGATCCGATATAATACGGGTTAACAAGATTTCGAAGAATTGCTGGATTTCAGATGTGGCCATACCTCTTAATGTACACATGCATAGAACATATGTAGAAAAAATTGCGAAATAGGTGGATCTGGCGCGCCACATAAAGCAGCGTGAGAGACTAAATAATATTAGTCTTGTCCCAATCATTATATCCAGTACAAGAGTCATCGAGCAAATTTTAATCGATGAGCTGAAAAAATTGAAGTGCGAATATCTGTTACAAGAAATGTCGAAAGCAGGTATACTGATGTCATGTTCTGAAAGAAGTAAGCATGAAAAAAATAATACAAATTTTGATAGTTACTGATACAATCAGGTCAAAGACGAATCGTCTGCGCCGACCTCGCAACTTGCCTCGTTTTCGATCAGGAGCGAAACTCTATACTCGGAATGAAGCTTATTTATTATTTTATGCATTAAGAATGATAACTTTGAAGAGTTCAACTACTTAAGGATTCTTCTAGGTACTTTTTCTAATCGAATTCTTCTTGTGAATTAGCGGACGCGACTGTACCGTCTATGCGCGTAAGTACCTGCACATACAACTTTAAGCATACAACTTTAACTTTAACGTTTCGGTATTTTAATCTCAACTTAGTATTTGATATCGTAGACTAAACAGACTGACTGACTGTAGATTTGTCTTAAATTCGGCCTCTCGAAACTTTTTAACTCGACAAATTAATTAGATGGAGTTGGATAGATTCGCAAACTTATTTTTGGCACTGATTCAGATTTGAAATTTACTAATTAATTGACTTTAAATCATGAATGTTACTTATGGGACATTCTCGGAAAAATTAGGAATTGTAAACTGACAAAATCGTAATACCAATGCACGGGACTTCACCAGATATTAGAAATGGTTTCTCAAAGCAATGTTAAGTCACAAATAGGAAACCGTACTAAGGTAGTGAACATGAATAAACTAAGATTATCTAAAATGAAATAGATTAAGGTAATTGTGTTACAGAAATCATGGTGCTTCTCGGCATATTAATAACGCTCATAGGCACCATCAGCGGATGTGTTTGCCTTTTGGGGTATGACTGTGGGGAGCCTCAATGAACATCACGACAATTTCACTGCTGGACACGTGGGAATGCACTACCTCATCGCACGCACAAAATGCCACATAAGTACACATGTGCACCAATGCCGAATATAACTCGATAGAACGATTTATTATTGTGGAATGTCATCTCACGTCTCAGCTGTGCAAAATGGATGGAGAGTGTATCTTATGGACCTAACAGCTGTGGCATACAAGACCGCCTTCAATACAGGCATCATGGGAATAATGCCGACCTTGCAAGTATCAGGTTTACGGGCCAATATCACGGAGTATCGAAGTGCTACACTTGCAGGGTCAATCTCAACAGACGGCAAGTGCTCAGGGACGCAGTACGCCAATCCCTACGACACATGGGACAATGTAGTAGTGCAGGTAGCAGTGAAAATAAATATTAAAGAATATTACACAATAGTTAAAATTAAATAGGGCAGTGTAGTGCTAAGCAAAGGTACATTGTTTGTTTTTACGGACGGTACATATATGTTACTGACGAGGAAGGGAATGCATTTTGGACAACTATACCTGACTCATCGTGTAATTTTGAACATTACGAGTGCTGTACGAGGGACTAGCCACAAAATTAGAAGCGACAAGCCGTATGGAAATATATCCTGACATCTAAACTATAACGACACAGGACGTCACGTTTACCTTGGAAAAGAGGGCGGAACACCATTTGTGCGGGTACACTCTTCTGCGGAGCGAGCATCCGAAGTTATTCATCTTGGAGACGCAAAAAGGAAGGACCTTCGCGTCAAGGAGAAGACTATCAGTTGAAAATCTCGATCTGTTCGCCTATGTGAACTCGAAGTTCGTATACCTAGAAAAATACATGAGAAGCCAGATGACTACCTTATAAAGTGACGTCATCAAACAAAAATGTGAATTGAAGAAACAGGTACTTAAAAATGCATTAGCGCTGGCGACTCTTCGACCAGATAAGTTCGCCTATACTATCATGAAGGCAGCAGGACATATGGCCGTAACGGTGGAAGAAGTGATACACATTGTAAAATGCACACCTGTTTCCGTCAGCATGAGACCATTAGAAGAATGCTATCACGAGCTATTCAGCTAATCACCAAAACGACAGCCTCTATATGACAACCAAGTGGAGAATACTAGTAAAAACTGGAACCACCATCAATGGAAGCAACGCATTTAGAGGGAAACTGCTACAGACTAACATCAAAATCCGTGGAGGTGCTCCCTCCCCAAATACTTCAACCATTGACGGAATCATTATGAAAATACATAAAAACAAAAACTTTAATGAGTAGTTGTATATACTCTCAACAGGACTTGGAGAATTTACACGATCGTATTATGTTCCCCGCCAAAAGACCGGAACTCTTAAACATTATTGCCAGAGGAGCTACAGGATACCGTGTTCCACTCAACACTATCTCCATGTATAACTTAGTGGGAGAAGCGGACATTGATAAAATCACAGACGGTGCGATCTCGAAATTGTGGCATTTCCTAGCTTTCGGATCAGCTAGCGCGGGATGTATTGGAGTATTTGTTCTAATCAAAGGAGTTGTGTGTCGACGTCGTGATTCGAGGATATGTACTCCATGCAGTCTATGGTTGGAGCTTACATCTGTTGGGGGCCGTCTGGAGTTCGTTAACACACCTGCTTTTGCATCTCAAACGACTGCAACAGCAATATGGAAAAAGAACTGTAACGGCCAATGAAAGTGGTGATACCATTGAAATAAGAGTGGATAAACTAGAAAGTGATGTGACTCCAATCCCCGCCCCAAGGGAAGTTATGAGATATCCAATGTTAGAAGAAATCCTGGCTGCTCGCAAAAACGAGTCGTTGGAAATCGAAAATCACAAACGACTCAATTAAGGGGGGAGGTGTGATAACGCCATCTGACGACGCATAGGATTCATCTATCAATAACAGAAAATTACTAATTCAAAGTCAAAAGGTCGGTTACTCTACTGTCGAAAATGCTACTATCGGTAACTCTGCTGTCAATAACTCTACTGTCGATAATTCTACTATCGGTAACTCTACTTTTAATTATTTTACTATCGGTAACTCTACTGTCGATAACTCTACTGTCGATAACTTTACTATCGGTAATTCTACTATCGATAATTCTTATTATAACAACTCATTATAACAATTTATAAACAAAGGATATATCCGTGTAACTTTGATACGCGAAA